CTCTGGGAACTCCTCCCAAGATGAATGTGCTTAAAATACCATCAGTATAAAAAGTCAAGGACATTCTGGCAAAAGCATGTTTACCTCTTCCATCTATTATTCTCACAATCTGCTGTTACGGGACAGTCTCTGCGTGCGTTTCTTCATTAATTTCCTAAGGTTTGGGCAGAAGCACCAGTAGAGAGTTGAAAAGGTTGAAAATGTCTCATTGAGAGCTCTTTATAGCAATGATGTGAAATGGAGTGTGTGACGTGGCCATTGTTACAGAGCTGATCGGCAGTGGATCGCCGCCGCTCTGCTGCAGTAATCTGCTCATGATGCGATGGATGACAGTTAATGAGAGAACGTTGCAGCAGGGACTCACCTGTTCTTTGCTAAGCTTTTCTGGAAACATGCTGAGCTCTGTATTTGTCGGGCTGTGAAGATTGGCTGCAGCACATATGCTTTTATACAAGTGGGAAGAAAACTCCTCAGGGCTCTCGCTCAGTGTCTGACCTGATTTATTTGCGGACTGGAAAAATAACAGCAAAACAAAATCATGGAGCAATATTCACGAGGTCTTTATTTGTATTACCCAGCCGTAGAAATAATAAAAAAAAACACTCACAAAAACAACAACTTTATATTCCGTGGACAATGCTAAGACCTCAAGGTCATGCATAGTGTTCAGTCGTTTGAATACAATTTGAAATACACTTACGGAGCCCCCACTAATAATAATAAAAAAATATATACAGGGGTCACAAACTCCTGCCCCACTAATAATAATAAAATATATACAGGGGTCACAAACTCCTGGCCCACAGGCCACTTTTGGCCCATGAACCACCACTAGATGTCAGTAATAAAGTAATCTGACCTTTGCTGTTATATTTTTGGATGTCCATTGAGATGTTTCCTCAATTTATCATAAAGCCAAACCAAAAGACTGTGAGTTGAAAACCAATAAAAATAGTTCCTTCAGGTCAAATTTGCTAAAAATAAATTTTAATCCCATGTTGAATACAGAGTCAACAGGTGACCTCAACTCTCTTTAACCTGGAATGCCCTACAGAGAAACTCTATTTATCTTTGCACTTCTTCCTAATGACTTATTAGAGAAAGTGACGTATTAGAGAAACATAATTGTTTTCTGTTGTGACGTATTAGAGAAACATAATTGTTTTACTGCCTGAAGTGTGAACTCATTTACAGTTTCATCACTCTGTGAGGAAGAAGCTGAAGAAGCTGATCCACAGCAGAGTATTCTGCTCCAAAGTGTGAACGTGTGAATTGTTCCGGGTGTTTCCTGCCATACTTCAACATTCATGACTGTAAATGAAACTATTCTACTACAAATTGTTAATATGTCAGAGTACAACAGTCAACCGTAGACTATTTATATAAAACCATTACCATCGTACCATCGTACATTACACAACACTGTCCTGCAGTCAGTGTACAGTCGGTGTTCATGTGTCATCACACCGGGACAGATCGTGACTTTGGCGTCTGTCTTGTTGAAACGCTGCTCTGCTGACCACCAAACACTTGTTCATGATCCGTCCGAGAGACGCTTGGTCCCCGAAAACTAAATGTCATCCTGTACGTAATTAATGCATGGCTCCTTCTTAACATGCTTGTGTATAAAGGTAGTATTTTTATGTATTTTTTACAGCAATTTTTAAGCTTTTTATTTATTTATATTTTTCCGAAATAGAGTTTGTACATCATATACATTTTTCAGTTAGATAAGGAAAAAGTTTCTCCTTTAAACCCTGGTGTTGTCCCTGGAGTCATTTTTGGAGTCACACAATTATACAACACATTCTGCTCCAAGTGTAGCTGAGAATTTATTGACAATGTACAAAAAGCACTTGGTCCCAACACTGGAGTTTTTCGTTTTTAACTCCATGTTATCATTCAGGTGGGGACATCGTGAGCGTTGGACATATTGGGCAGCTCTGTCTCTATATCAAATCCCACAAAGCCTTACTGACTCTGACTTACTCACTGACTCATGTCAGTGTCACAGAGAGAAAGAGAGAGAGAGGAGTGACACACACACACCCCACGGTGACAAGCTCTCCAAGGCTGAAGTGATGAAGGAACTGAGCACAGATTGGAAATTTGATAAGTGTGTATTTATGCCTATGTGGTGTGTGTGTGTGTGTGTGGAGGGGATACACACACACACACACACACAGCATGAGGCATTGAATCAACCCTCCCTAATGATACAACCGCAGAGGCTGCAGTTTACTTCTCTGTGTGTGGATCCTTTTTATGAACCCTGATTCATCAAGTTCTTGTTTCATACATTTTTAATTACACCCATGTGTGACACATGTCACTGGACCCCTGACGAATTAACATGAACTGGATTTCAAACTAACCGTCCGCTGAGTTCATGAGGGTGTGGTAATGAAAGGAATCGATCAACTGCTGATCTCACACCGCGCGCCCATTAAAACACACACGATCTCCCATCGTGCTGTCACACCGCGCGCCCATTAAAACACACACACAATCATAATGACACCACAGTCACACGACTGAATTGCTCCGCATGCAAAGATTAGTCTGAGTGACACTTCTGGATGTCAGTGGCAGTCGCTGCCTCAACCTCGTTTTCATTTTGGGAGTGGGTTTTTGAACCTGTGAGTTCACTGTTGCTTCATCTCTAAAATACCTTTGTTTTTCTACCTCTCTCCACCACTCCCCCTCTCTCTTGGTCTTTCTCTTCCTGTCACCGTCTCCCTTTTTTCTTTCTGTTTTTCTCTCGCTCTTTATTGAGCTCAAAGATCTCCTGCAAAGATCTTAAAAACTGATCCCAGACCAGATCTCTCTGAGTCACAGGCAGTGGTGGCAGTGATGAAAAACTCCTGGCGGTTCTTAAAGGTCGCCAATTTAATGTGATGATTAAAGCAGCTTTTTTTGGTCATTGTCTGTATACCTCAGAATACAACCCAAGAGTGAAACAGGGAACAGGTGAGTTGGTTGGTGCCAGCTAAAAACTGTCAGCACCGCCAGGGCTGGGAATAGGACCGACAACTTTCTTTCTTTAACTCAAAGCCAGCAACGGTGTCTGACAGTGTCATATTACTTTGCTCCAGTCCAAATGAAAATAATGCAAAGTCTGACTCTAATGAAGTCACCCTGCAGCATGACAGCTCGCTAAATGGGTTATCAGGAAAAAATAATGATTTTAGTGGTGACATTTAACTGTGGGTGGAAAGGACTTCGCTGTTCTTTGTCTGACTTTTAATGACATATTATCCTGAGCGTTCATTCCGAAAGTATAATTTCTAAGGAAGAATGAAGTAGGAGGGTTGATTCCTGCCACAAACCAAATCATGCAGACCAAAGATTAGATGAAGGGAAATTGGACTTGAAATAGAATGTTGAAATGCTTGATTAGCTTGGTTTTAAGATTTACTGGCAACCCGTGCACAGTACAAAAGTCCTGTCTTTTACCTGATGTCACCTGGGATTGACTACAGTTTTCCATGTGCCATAAGGAACACCGCTAATACTACAATACCTGCAAGTATCTCTAGTAACTCTAGTACATAGTTACACTGCGGGCCAGATTTGGTCCCCGAGCCTGAGTTTGACTTGTGTGCCAACAACTTGGTTATTTCTTTCAGTCAATCCCAGAACTGAGCTCCACTGTCTTTTCAGTGATTATAAAGTCACTGTCACTGACGTGGCTTCATAACTTTAACATCTTAAGTCAGCGAAGTGAAAAGAAGGATCATTCGGAGAAATAAGCCTTGAGTAGAGGCGCAGGTGTTTACGTCCAATCAAAAACGGCACAACAAAGCGAACAGCGAGCTGCAGCCAATCAGCGCTCTCCATCTCCATTGCGCATAGGTGTGGGTTGGAGCGTCTCCTCCGGCCGCTGCGCTGCGCTGCGCTCATGAATCTTCCCACGTTCTACACGTGTTCGTGCGGTTTGTGTTTATGTCTCCTGTCGGAGGAATTAGAACAACTGCGCTGTTTTCAGGCGGACACAGAGAACGAGACACGTCTGAGTGAATGACGGGAGTTTGGGGGAAAGTATAGAATAACTCCTGGAACGCTTCATCGCTGCTGCTGCTGCTGTTGTTAGTGAGGAGGAAGATTTCCTACAGTCGGGAAACAACAGGCTGTGTCTTATCTTCTCTATTCTCAGCGATGGGAAGAACCCACTTCACTGTAGTCCACAAGTAAACTCGAAACTTAACTCATAACGGAACAGAGAACCTGGCCGTTCATTGGAGGCTGATTAAGGACCCTGTAAACTGGATTGTACTGCTGCCATCGACCACCAGATTTGACTGATCACCTGTGACGACAGTGAACAGCCTCAGAGGTGAGCTGCTGGAATTACACCGTGAGCTGTTGTCGCCACTTCCGACTAAATGTGTTGTTGTTTCTTGTTCTGTGGATGTGGAGCTCAGGCTTCACCTGTTGTCGGTCGATGTCCACTCATGAGTGCATTATCTACTGGTGTTAGCGTTTCTATCTGTGTCTCAGCATATGCTGAGAGACAAAGAACAATTTCTACCGTTTATCCTGAGTAATGAGATCCAAGATGGTACACAAAAACAAAATTTTAACTCATAATCTCACAACATCTTTTAAACAGTTTGTATGTTTTAAAATAACTAGTTTGAGTTGCATTCGTCTCATCTTAAACGTGAAAAGTTGCGCCTGGTCCATTGCGCGTCTTTTCCCCACATGGGGGCGCACACGCTGGTCCTAGGAGATGCATGGTCGCAATGAGCCCCTGACTGTTGCTCTCTCACCCTGGTGCATCCTGTTTGTCTCCTGTCCCTTGTGACTCCCATTCTGTCCAAACATTCTGTCTTTATCCTCTCTCTCTCTCACCCGGTCCACGCCCCCCCCCACTCCGGTTTTACCCTCTCTTTGAGTATTTTGTGTGCGGCGCTGCAGGCAGGGGCTGAGTCTGTCACCGGGACTCGCTAATGAGCCCTCCACTCTCTCCCCATGTGGAGGAATGTTTGCACGAGAGAGAGAGAGAGAGAGAGAAGAGAGAGAGAGAGAGAGAGAGGGAGGGGGGAGCTAGGGACAGAGGGGAGGCAGTGAGTGTGGTGTGTGTGAGAGGAGCTGTCATACCTGCTGCTCTCTCACTGCTCCAATATTTAACAAGGGATATCAGGGAACCGATGCTGCTGCTCTGGGACAAGCCTAAACTGTGGAGACAGCCTGTCTCAGAGGTGTGTGGACAGTCAGTCTGCTGCTACTGCTACTGGTGGTGGAGACACCACTGCATCTAAGAGTCTGATGGAGGAGGAGGTCACAGAGCCCGATCCTCACACCCTGGAGTCCTCCAGCATTTACCTCGCTCCTCTGGGGACGCACTCTGAGGTGAATGGGGACTTGCCGGGGAACCCGAACCCGAGGGACGGGACGTTGGACGTGATGGAGAGTCCAGTCAGGGAGCCTGTGGTGCTGCAGCATCCTGCCCAGTGCAATCACAGCCTCCACTGTGGGTAAGAATCAGCATGGGTGAGACGTAGGGAGACGGAGTGAGGGTCTGCTGCTGCAGGGAGACAATCTCTCACCTCTTTTTTTAAATTATTTTTTTACTTCTGTTAAACACCGATGGCTTCATCGGGAATAGGGTTTCAAACCGACACCCATGTCTTTGTTTCTTTGTTACAAAGTCCAGTGTCACTTAACATTCATGTCTCATTCCAACTCCCACTCATTGTTTACTGTAGAACTGGATGCTTGTGTCTGGAACAAACAGAAACGGCTGGTTATGAACAAATGGTGATAAAAGAATTTAAAAAATGTTGACATTTTCTCTTGTTTGACCGCTGCAGTTCACAGTTCCTTAAAACGGTGGGTCTTTTTATATGAGTCAGTTTGAGCGGCCGGAGGCAGCTAACGCCAAGTTGTGAATTTGGCCATAAAACTAAAGCGTGACCAGAATCTCTCACTTCCTATTTTAACCAGAAGTTGACGGTGTCTGTTGCTGTCTGTGAACTGGGAGATGGAGAAATGGCAGCACCAGGTCTGAAAGTCCTACAGTTATTCTATGCACTGGTTGTGATCGTGTTTGCTGTTGTTTGAAATTGGATAAAACTACAAAAAATGGCATTTATGATTTATTGTAAGAAATGAATTATGTCTAATTGATTTGGGAGAAAAAGGTGATTGACTGATGTTCCTGCTTGTCTGCAGTCACAGCTGCCGTCCTTGGTGAACGCTACCTGTGGTTTTCTTTACAACAAAAATCTGCAGTCACAGCTGCCGTCCTTGATGAACTCTACCTGTGGTTTTCTTTACAACAAAAATAATATAAATATGAAGAAGTGTAAACTGTGTAAAAGAAATGACAGTGAAGATAAAATGATCTACAGTAAAAGTCAAGTCCAAAGTTAGACTAGGAAATTTGAGTTTGGGTTAGGATCACACCTCACAACCTGGTCAGATAATTTGACAAATGAAACTAACAGGTAGATTTAAAAAAAAAAGAAAAAGAAAAGTCGTGTAAAAAACATAAAATTTGTCAGCATCACTGCAGGGCAGGGTAGAGACAGGGCAACAAAAAGGTTAATAACTCATCGGCCACCCCGAAGGGAACCATGAAAGAAATAGCACATCATTAGTCGGATGATGGATGATTATATTACAGTGTTTGGGGAGTGAATCCTAAAAGGAAAAAAGAAACAACTCCAAATGGATCAGCTGCGATGTAGTGTTTAATTTTAAAAATCTTTTACTTTTAACTTTCTCACCAGGCTCCGTCTGCAGCGATCTGTGTACAGGTTCAGGTTACAGATACTGTAGATGTAGATCCAATACTACAGTACATGCAATACAACAACACAATTACAACTGTAACGATGAGATGACCCTGAAATGAAGAGAATTGTTACATTACCCTTCCCCAAATCAGAAGATTTCCAGATTTCCTTCTCTGGGGATTTTTAAAGCCTCATACTTACTTGTCAGTGTGAGTATTGGAGATGAAGTGTGTGATGTTCATCTGGTGAATGCTGATTCGTCAGTCTTGTCCCTCTCTCTGTCTTTTGTTGTCAGATAGATCAGATGTGACTGTGATAAGTGGAATAGAATTCAGTGATTAACTGGAAAATGACTTGTGGGAAAAGGGGTCTCATTAGAGCAGATGTGATTTCAAACCGATGTCTCGTGGAGCTGATCCTCTGTAGTCGGCTGGTGATTGTCAGCCGTGATCTGGAGATAAAAAATATTAATGAACTTTGTATCTGGAGCCAAAGATCTTTCAAACTCTTATGATTGAAGAATATTTAACTGCACACCATAACTTCATCTTTACTAACTCAAGTTCTACACGCTGTCAACACTTCACTCTACAGAACTACCTTGCTCAGGGACACATTGGCATATGGACATTTTGAGTCCAGTTTTTTTTTTTACCTACAGAACGATTTCATAAAATCATAATCCAGTGAAAATGGTGTTTTTCCGTACATCATAATTTAACAGTAGGGATTGGATCCTGGTTGAAAATGTGACATATTTCAACCAGAGCTGCATGATTACTTTTTTTTTTTCTTGTTCGTCACAGACTTTGATTTTGTAGCTGGAGGGTCTGCTGCCGTTACACAGTGTTCTGTTCACGTTGCCCTCTGTATCTGCATGTTTCTATTGGCCATTCTTGTGCTGCAGGGTCTGATGTGAGAAACTGCCATCTGGTGTCCCTGTCATGCAGGAAAATTTGAATAAAGCCGAGGTCTTTCCATTATGGCGACACTTTCTTTAAAAACCCAGACTTGGAGATGAGGTCTGGTTTGTTATTTCGGTAGTGTTCCTGGGCTGAGTCATCATCGGTAATAGACGTAGTTAGAGGTTTGGCAGAAAGAACTCGCGTGTGTTTATAAAAACCAATGTGTTTCTTCTAGTAGGTGTTTGCATTTGGCTGTAAAGGCTTCACTGATTTCATTCAAGACCACAATCATCACATGTCTATTAACATCAGACCTAACGACAGATCATTACGACAAATCATTTCACTTTCAAGTCGCACTTTTTGTCCAGCGTCTGTGAGGTTTCCATGACGACTTGTCCTCACGTTGAATGTGATGCAGCGTTTTCTGACGCCCTTATAAGGAGTGATTTATATGTATTGATTACAACGAGTAAACCTACCTACAAAATACCTTTAGGAATTGTTTACAGTTTCCTCTGTGGTGTATGATTGAAACAATTGATCCACCTTCCTTTGGCCAGAAAAAGTGATCAATACAGAATCGATTATGTCTCACTGTACATCTTAGAATTCTCCTCCCACAGCCACACGTCACCTTGAGGTCATTCTTGGAGGGAAATGCGTTCATCATCCCTCTTTTGTCAGGATTTGAAACATTTACTGCCTTTTCTTTTAGGGTCAATAATTTTTTATTTGCCGGATGATCTTTGTCTCATCCTTGAAGTGTCAGTGAGCCTAGCGGTCTGCCCTCTGCAGGCTTGCACAAACAGGGTTCAGTTTAGCTCTGACCTAATCGTTAGGGTTGATTTTATGTCTTTGCACAAACGGGGTTCAGTTTAGCTCTGACCTAATCGAACCACAGTGCGAAGACAATGATCGGATTTAACAACGCGCTTGTAATTTATTGAGCGGTAGTAGAAACAGATAAACAACAGTGTGTGCCCTGAATGGGTTTTACTGCTTTTCTCTCTTTGATTGTTATTTTTAAGCGCACTTTGCATCTGTCCTGTGTACATCCTCATCTGAGTTTAGTCAGTGAAAGCTGTTGGAGAATTTTCTGTTAGAAGAGCGTGTACAATTTGTTCGTTTTTTTTTTTTTTTTTGGGGGGGGGTTGATTATTTTCTAAGTGTACATAGGAATTCAGAGTTTTCCACTGTTTGAAAAAAAGCTGAGAGTCTGAACTTCTGGCTTTAGCATGCAGCTGCAGTAAGGTGTATTCAGCATTTACTCTGCACACATTAGTATTGGCTGAGAACGTAACGCCAGAGAGAACATGTTAA